ACTAACAAAAGAGCTATCAAAAAGATTTTTTCTAACCACCAATTGTTTATCAAGTTCTACAACTCCACTGCCATGTTCATCTACAACTACACTACCATGTTCATCAATTTCTTCAATTACAACCCCTGTTTTTTTCTTACTACCTAACAGCGGGGAATGTGACTGGATGTCAAGAATTTCATGTAAAGGCCTATGGTCACAGTAAACATCTATCAGTTTGTGCTCGTACGCCCATTTGCACATTGCCACTATATCTGCATTTCCTTGTAACTCTCTTAATCCCTTATTCAAATCACTCCCAGGTTCTAAGTAATAGTAAAGCATTGCACCATTATATCCTAATTCCTCAACCATGTCATTTATCTCATGGACAGACATTCTCTCCGCATCACACGCATCAACATAATCTATTTCACCACCAACGTATGTTTTATACTGACGCCCACTAAATCTACCACCATGAAACATTCTAATACTGAATAGTTCGGAATTAGGCACTGCAATGAAATGGGAAAAAAAAGAAATCACTTCATTTGAAAAAAAAAGACTGAAAAAAACACTTGTTTATTTCAAAATTTCCCACTTTTACAACCGACAGTTGGATGAAAACCCTAACATTTAAACTCTATAATGCTACTACATATTCACAACCCACAAATAAGCACCCTCGATTTCAGACACAAACTTGAGTAATAAACCCATTACATTTAGTTTAAAGTATAGTTTCAGTTCATTCACATGATTTTCCCCAAAAAATAACTTACCGTAAATTTCATATGGAACAATGTCGATGTCTCTTCTCCTGAATTTTCACTCCATAGATTCACCACGATTTTCCCTTCTCTTCGATCTTCAAAACCCTTATCTTCGATCTTCCTACAACGATTTTGAGAACTTCAGTTTGTTTAGTTGGCTTGTTTCGATCGCTCTTTTTTTTCTTTTCAGTTGATGTATTAATGTAAGTGAACGGTCAGTGGATTGAGGGACAAAATTGCCCCTGTGATTTGCCACGTGTAATTCTAATTTCAGAAATTAAGAGCTATTACGGACGAAATGGTCACGGGTGGCCTGATTAAGTTGTTTAGTGGCCAATTATTGACAAAAAATAGTTCGATGGCCAAAACATGATCCTAGGAAAAGTTTAATGGCTGCCCAGATTTTTTGCCCTTCTTTATTTGATTTTCTTCCAACGACGACCTAGCTAATCTCGCTGAAAAAAAATATTGGTGCTCTTTATTTATTTATTTATTTTGGAATGAGATGGGAAGGCATTCAACTATTATTATCAAATTTTCATGACAATCTTTATTTGGTATTGATTCTATGTAAACAATCAACAATGTGGTGCCCTTCTATAGTGTCATTTATTATTTGGTCACGCCACACACCATGTTTAATTATCGATTCCCCGCTATTAATTGTTATAATTATTTATTTACCTATTTTTATTTGGATTTCTTTTTTTTACCAAATAAATCACATTTAATTACCAATTTTTTACAATTAATTGTTAATAATTAATTAATAATGCCATTTTTTGTTACTGTCATTTTTTTGTTACCCAACAAATCACATTTAATTCATAAATTTTTTGCAATTATTAACAAAATTTTTTTTTGTGGTTGTCAAAGAAATCACATTTAATTATCTTTTTTTCGAAATTTTATTAAGAAAATGTCCTCTTTTGTTTTGGGTTGCCCAACAAATGAAGTTTAATTATCAGCTTTTTTCAATTAATTTTTTATTAATTCAGTTCTAATTTCACAGTTTTATTGCCAGATAAATCACATTTTATTACTGGCTTTTATAATTATTAATACTTTTTTGTTACCCAACAAATCGCCTTTAATTATCAATTCTATATAGTTATTATCCAAGAAATATGCTTGTCTTATTCTTTTTTTTTGTTACTTTTCTTGTCGTAACCATACTTCTTATTGCTAATGTGATTGACTAATTTTTACAAACAAGCCGGCATTTTGTTTGTTTAGTTCCAAAGCATGCTTTCTCGACTTCCTTATTAGGCATTACTTGTCACCAGCCTCTTTTTGCCGATAAGTGACTGTACCTGAGCTAATTAATGCCTACCTTATTTCACTATATTACCCATCCCTTGTGGCTACATTTACGCTTCCACTCAATAGGCCTTGTAGCCTTTTTTCCTTTACTTGAGGTTATGTTTATAAATCTGCAAAAAATCGTCATTTTTCACCATTGTCGAGCATCAGCTTTCTTTTGCTACCGTTGATTGACATTGTTTTGTGTTTTGCATTTGCACAATGGTTACAGAGTTTCTCTGGTTTTCCACAGCGGATTTTCTACTGATCATCATCATGAACAGTGGTAATTGTGCATCTACTGCATTCTTTTCCCTATTCTATTGCTCTTGTTTCTTTATTAGACCAAGAGAACTACCTCATACGCATTGTTCTTCGTTTTCTTTGGCTATTCGTTTTCCCTAATTTATTAGTTTGGTTTTAATTTGCACTGGTGCTGTCGTTGTTGCTTCCTGGTAAGCATGTTGGTTTTATAGTTCGCTTTCATTTGTTGTTCTTTAATTGTTCAGATATTTCAGAATTGCTATCATGCTGCTTTATTTTTTATTTCTTCCTTGCTTCTCTGCTTTCTAATGCATTGGTTCGACCGTTTTTAATTTTTTGTTTGCCCCTTCTAAATTATTATCACCAAATTAGCTTCTCTTTTTCTCTCCCCTTTTTTGTCACCTTTTCTTATTACCTCTTACATGATTGTGATTTCTTTGATAGTTTCTGCTGTTATTCACTTCTGCGGTGCTGAGCTTCTTCATGTGCACAGGTTAGTTATTTTGATTTTGTTCTTCTTTTGCTCTTTTCTCTATATTTGATCCTTAATTTGTGCATCTTTAGCATGCATTTTCTGATGCATCAGTATTTACGGCCTGCTTCAGTTTTACCTTTTTTTAGTTTGGGACTTTTTGACTTTCTGTACCTTTTGTGATCCTTATACTTGCATATACGAGTTATTCTATTGTTTCTGGTGCTATATTTACGTGCCTGGTTATTTTTTATGTAAATATTTGTTCTTTGCTCAGCTGTCAGCTATAAACTCCTTTAGCTCCTTGCCGTTCATTTGTTTTTTGGCTGCTCTATTTTCTGCCAGTTTTTTATTTACATTCTTTTTTGCTAAGTTAGATATTCCTTTCTTTATATAGTCCTTCGACATTTTGCACTCTTAGTAAAATCGAAATGATAGAAATGCTACTCGCCGCGAAAGGTATGCAGAAATGCCACCTTCGAAAAAATGGAACTTCTGCAACGTCAAAAAGAAAATAGAGCTGCCAAGAAAAATAATGCGCATTTGCTCCCACGTATTCGTAAGGTTCTACTTGGTTATATGGAATTGGGTGTTTCTTTCCCTGATTCGCATCATGAAAAACTTGATGGTGCGAATCACTCTTCTATGCATAGTGAAATGTTAGGAGGTGAGGTCTTGAAGATCGGTCATGACAGTGTCAATGTCATTACTGAGGCATTACAATATATGTCCTCTCGCGAGTCTGTTTCTTTTGTTCTTCATGTTCATTCTGCTCCCTCTTCTAAAACAGCAAATGACATGCCAAATGTAAGTATTCCTGCAGGTATAGTTGGTGATGTCCTTCTTTTGCTGCTTTTTTCTTGTCCAGTTCTTGGTTTTTAGACCGTCTTCGCTTCCCTACCTGCTGGTTGCTGATTCTACATTTCGATTCTTTGTAAATGAATGCATCTTCATTTGCAATCTGCAGAGTTTCCACTTACTGCTAAGGTTGATCTTAGGAGCTGCAAAGGAAAATTTCTTCCCGACAAAAGAAAAAATTTGAACCTTCCTTCTTCCACTATTAAGCCTGATTTCTGTCTACCTAGGAGAAAAATTAGGAACTCTATACCTGTAGCATTGCATGATCGACTAGGCGATTGCTTTAATCATTTTGATAGCGTCATCCAAGCTCTTAACTTTGACAAAGAGGATTTGTTTATGAACAATCTTTTTGAAAATCCAGTTGAGTATTGTTCTTCAGGCAATGTTTCTGTGAACTCTGAAGAGTTTTATCCCCTTAGAACTACCAGTGAGACAGGTCAATTTCTGCAACAAAAGGATGCATTTTTTAAGAAGCAAAATTCTATAATTAAATCTACTTGCTCTGTTCCTGTGATGTTGGTTGACAGGCCCAACAGCTCTTCTCGCCTTTCTGAGAGTATCCTGCAATCTTCTTGCATAGGCAAAGATCCTCTACTTGCTCCTGAGCTTTTTGAAAATGTTGTCGAGTACTCGTCTTTGACCAAGGTTTATATGAAATATGGTCAATTGCAATCTCTCCTCACTGGTAGGCACCAAGTATTTTATTTTGGAAAAAATATGCCACCCTCTGAGAACCATACTTGTGAAACAGCTGCTGCTTCTCAAGGTATTTTTTTAAATAGCAACTATTCTCAACACAACCTTGTTGAGTATTCTTTAATTCCCACCGCATGCTGATTGTGTTCGCTGAAATGACATTAGCCTCTTTTGGTTAGCTTATTTCTTAATATGGTTGCAGAAACCACCTCTGTTCAGGAGAAACAATCTACCCATTCTATTGGAAAAAATGATTCTATGAGGAAAGCAACAAGAATTTCCCATTCTTCTGGTTTCTCATGTAAAGTGCAACCTTCTACCCAAAACTGCTGTTCTCGTCGCCGTGTGAGGAAGCAAACTCCGGGTTGGCATTTTATTCTTCAATAGCTATTTCAAGTATTTTAGATGCCATTGCTAATTAGCCTAATAGAGGCACAACTTAGTTCGCTTCTCAGCCATAGTTTCGCAATAAATGCAGCTGTACCTAAAAGAGGAAGGCAACGACGAATTTTTTTGATCAATGAAATCCCACACGAAGCTTTAACTCTTCCAGATGCTCCGATTGTGAGCACTGTGGAGCCAAGAGGTTCCATTTGGAACCTCCTAACTTTTGCTGCTCTAGAGGAGAGATTTCTATCGTGGCTCCATCGATGCCTTATGATCTTAAGCGCTTATTTATTGAAAATGATGAGGAAAGTGCTCATTTCAGAAACAATGTTCGGTCCTATAATAACAACTTGGGATTCACATTCGTTGCTGCAAAATATGATCCAGAACTGACCAAGAACATGAAAAGTGTTTATATTTTTCGTGTTCAAGGTCAGGTCTACCATTTCCTTAATAGTTTGATGCAGTCATATGAAATACCTTCTGGAATTTAGTTTTACTTTTTTGATTCTGATGAAGAATTAGCAAAAAGGATTGAAAGTTCTGATAAGTTGCGTGAAAGCACTTTAAGATTACTTATGCGCATCCTTTCAAACAATCCTTATGCTAAATTCTTTAAGAATCTCAGAAATGTCCCAAACATTGATACCTATAGAATTGTTTTGAATTGTTATCCTGGTTTGGACCAGCGTGTCTATAATCTGCCTACGGCCTCTCAAGTTGCTGCCATATGGACTGAGGATGATGGTGAATCGGCAGATAGAAATATTCATATTCAAGTTTATACCTACTCAAATACCAGCCATAGAATTAAGCATTACTATGGCTGCTATGATCCTTTGCAGTACCCTATTCTCTTTCCTCAAGGTGAATATGGATGGCACCATGGTGTTAAAAAACTTTGCAAGAGGAAGAGAAAGGCAGATTCTTGTGAGGATGATTTAAATGTTGATCCTTCCTCTTTTGATGACCTTTCACATTTACTTGATTTGGAAGGCAGAGGCAAGTGTATTTCTTGCTATTTGAGGCTGTTAGGGTGAGCATCATAAACTTGTCATCATTAGTTTGACATTTTTTACTTCTTCTTTATAGCCGTTGAACATGGAAAGAACGAAGATGACACTGTATCAGCAAGAGAATATTGTTGTTATATGTTTCAAATAAAAGATAGCGACGAATCGATGTTGTTGTACTGTCTTAGACTTCTATAATAATTTTCAGTTGATTCCTATGTGAAGATAGAAACTTCTAGGTTGGACTTTCATAGACACTGACAAAATGTAGTCAGATCAAAAATTCTTCAAGGGGTATTGGATAGTATCTCTCTAGACCAAACTAAAGGTTCTAAAGTTGATCGTAGGATAATGTTGCCTGCTTCCTTTATAGATGGTCCTAGAGACATGAGATACCGCTATCTTGATATAATGGCACTTGTACAAAAATATGAAAAATCAGACATTTCTCTTACCATGACCTGCAATCCAGCATGGAAAGAAATTCAATGCAATCTAAAGTATCATGAGAAGTCGCAGAATAGGCCTGATCTTTTAGCTAGAGTTTTTAGAGCTAAATTTGAAATGATTAAACATGAACTCTTGAATAGGCAGATTTTTGGTGAGGTGGAAGCAAGCATCTATGTCATTGAGTTTCAAAAACAGGGATTTTCACATGTTCAGTTGTTACTCATTTAAAGCCTCAATTTAAGTTGCTCAATCCAGAGTCATACGACAAGGTAGTCTCCGCTGGATTGTCTGATTGCCTTTAATATTCTCACCTCTACTCTCTTGTTGTAAAATATATGATCCATGGTCCTTGTGGAGACATGGATAAAAGTTGTCCCTGTATGAAAGACGGTTCCTGCAAGAATCACTATCCAAAAATTTTTGCCCTCATGCAACCCATGGTGAAGATAGTTACCCATATTATAGAAGAAGAGATGATGGCAAGAAAGTAAAAGTTCACAGATTCACCCTTGATAATAGGTGAATTGTACCTTACAACCCCTATCTTCTTGCTTTGTTCGATTGCCACATGAACGTGGAAATTTGTTCTACCATTAAAATGGTCAAGTACCTGTATAAGTATGTGTTCAAGGGGCATGATCTAGTCTCTTTTAGGATTATGACGGATGATAGTGCTACTGATACTGATGAGATTAAAAAGTTTCAAAAAGGTAGATACATTTCACCTCCGGAAGCATTTTGATGCATCTATGAGGTCCGTTTAAATGAGATGACTCCATCTGTTTATACTCTCCAGGTTCACCTTCCAAATCAGCAGCTTGTTTCTTTTCCGAAGAACTCAGATTTGCTGCAATTGTTAGTAAAAGTTGATTTTTCTAAGACCATACTAACTGAGTTTTTCAAAATGAATGCAACCAATGCAACCGATAAAAACCTTAAATGCTTTTATAAAGATTTCCCTCAGCATTTCGTTTGGTCTTCTAAGTATAAACACTGGACGGAAAGGAAGAGTCGAAAGATGATAGGTAGACTTGTCAGTGTTAATCCAAGAGAAGAAGAGAGGTACTATCTAAGGCTTCTCTGAAATCATATTCCTGGACCGGTATCATTTGATGATTTCTTGACTGTTTGTGATAACAAAATGAAGTCGTTTAGAGAGGCTGCTCTAGCGCTTGGGTTGTTGCAATCTAATATGTATATAGAAGAAACACTTGAGGAAGTCGTTGCATTTCAAATGCAATATTCGCTCAGATTATTATTTGCTACTCTTCTGGTCTATTGTTCTCCAACTGATCCCACGATGTTATGGAAAAAATTTGAATTGGACTTTTCTAGAGATTATCAGTGGCACAAACAATATCATGACCACTCTCCCGCTGAAATTCGAGGATTGGTTCTTGCTGATATTAACAAATCTTTTCAGCAGATGGGTACAAGCATTGCTGCGTGTCAGTTACCATTAGATGATCTTGTTAGTATGGATCAAGTTCACCTAACAAAAGAGATAGAGGCTGAAAGAAACATAGACATACCATCGAAAGATCTGCTAATGTCTTTAAAATTAAATTCCCAGCAAAAGTATGCTTATGACATGATCCTAGAAGCATGCTTTGCTTCCCAAGGACATTTTTTTTATTGATGGTCCTAGAGATACTGGTAAAACATTTTTATACCGATCGCTGCTTGCTACTTTGAGATCGTAAGGTTATATAGCCATTGTAGTAGCAACCTCTGGAATTGCAGCGTCTATCCTACCCCGGAGGCAGAACTGCACACTCAAGGTTCAAGATACCTCTTGATTTCTCAAAGAACAGAACCTGTCAGCTTAGCAAGCAAGACAGTGTTGCAAAGTTGCTCTTGGAGTCTAAACTGATCTTGTGGGATGAAACTTCAATGGCAAAATGAGAAATCATTGAGGCATTTAATGATTTGCTTAGAGACATAATGGAATATGAACTGCCTTTTGGAGGTAAAGTTGTTGTATTTGGTAGGAATTTTCGGCAGACACTACCTGTTATTGAACAAGCAACAAAGGAAGTCCTTTTGCAGTCATGCTTTCTCAATTCTTCATTGTGATATAAGCTTCATAAACTAAAGTTAACAAAAAACATGCGAGCTATATTAGATTCTCAATTTTCTGAATTCTTGTTAAGAGTTGGCAAAGGGCGCGAACCTGTGGATTTGAACAGTGAAATAATTTTGTCCAGAGATTTAGTCATTCTTTATTACGATAAAGAAGAATCTTTAAATAGGTTAAATGACTTAATATTGGCCTGTTTTATCCATCTGCTCTTTAGTGTATACAACTTCTAATTTAACTTCTTTATTAACAGGTTGCTACACTCTGTATTTTCAGATTTAACTCTCTATTCCCAGGATCCGTATAACATGATTAATAGATGTATTCTTACCCCTAAAAATAACTCGGTTGATGAGTTGAATGATATAATGGTTAGAAGGTTTCCTGGAGAGTTTCACACTTACATTAGTTCTGACAAAGCTGTTGATCAGCGGCACCAAGGTGATTACGAGGATTTCTTTAATTCTCAGAATCCAAAAGGTCTTCCTCCTCACAGGTTAATGTTAAAAAAAACTGTCCGATTATACTAATAAGGAATCTAAATCTTGTTGAAGGGCTATGCAATGGCACAAGGCTTATATGTGGAGAGCTTGGCTGGCATACTATCTCTGCTGAAATTGTCTTCACCCAGCATAGAGAAAAGAGAGTTCTCATTCCAAAGATACCCTTACAAACTTCTAACAACCAAAAGAATTCCATTGCATTCATAAGAACTTAGTTTCCTGTCCGACTTTGTTTTGCAATGACTATTAATAAATCTCAAGGACAAATTCTTGATTATGTTGGGATTTACTTGCGAGAGCCTGTCTTTTCTCATGGACAGCTATATGTAGCCTTGTCTAGAGCTAGAGCTTCGAGTGAGCTGAAAATACTTATTGTTCCAGGAACTTTTGATGGTATAAAAATAGACTGCAAAACTAGAAATGTTGTGTTCAAAGAAATTTTTGAATTGAGCCAGCAGTAAAATGTTCTTATATTCAGGTATACTTGTACTAGTTTATAGTTGTGTTTACTTACTGTTAAGGTCTTATCTATACCCAAACTTGTACATTATGATCCTTTTCCCGTTTTTTACAGGAATATCTAACCTCTTGCCAATTGGAGATATCATGTCTGATATGAAAAACTGGTCTTGTATCATCATAGTTCAGGAGAAACAACAGGTGACAGATTCTATGGGAACACCAACCAAGAAGCAAAAGTTTGTCTTCTATGATTCAGAGGTTGCATTTAGAACCTGAAACGACCATCAATTATTTGATCTTTTATTTGTTTGTTAATCATATTTGTTATGTGTAATTTTTTTTGTTTCCTGATAGAGCTCTAAAGTTGAAGGGATAATTTTCAATGCTGATATTCCGAGAATGAGTCCTATACTGAAAGTTTATAAAAAAATATAAGATTTCAAACGCTGATGTCAGGACTATTCCGCCAAAGTTTCAAAGTCCTGGATTAACCAAACAGTCGGTGATCACTTCAAAAACTGTCATTGAAGAAGTCAGTGGCAATGAAGACATTATGCTTGTTAAATTTAGTTTCATTAAGTTTGCTGATTTAGCTGAATACATGGATGATAGAAGCAAGTCCGTCAGTGAGTATGCAAACAGTCTATCATTCATGTTTTTATTACAAACTGAAAATATTCTCAGCCTGTCTTCTTTCCCTTTGCAGATGTGCTGGGAGTGGTGATAAGTTCATTGGCCAAGAAAACGATCACTAAAAACTCCAAACAGTCAAATGTTCAAAAATTTGTCCTCCTTAATGAAGAGTACGAATTGTCTTTTTTATCATACTACACACCTTTTTACTGACCGTGTTTCGTTTTTCCTATAGCTTTGAATCATTTCCATCCTGACTTATATGTCAATGTTAGGTCCCAAACTGTCCTGCTTTCTTTATAGGATGATTTTCTGAACAATGAAGGTCAAGTTTTGTTGAATAACATGCAAAGCTATCCCGTTATCATTGATCGAAGGCTGAAAGTTAGCAACTACAATGGTCGGTTAAACTGCTTTTTTTGTATTATAACCTTTGTTTGTATGTCAAGCTTTTTAATCATAATTCAATATTCATTCTATTGTTTATTCTTTAGGTGTTGCTCTCTCTACTTGGTTCGATTCTGCACTCCTTGTTGATCCACCTATACAGGAAGCAAGGCAGCTCAAGAATTGGTGCAATGACTTTAACTAACATTTTTTTATGCAGCATAGTATCAACTGTATCATTTTTTCCCAATATTTTCCTTACATGATTTTTTTTTTTGTAGGGCAATGAGAAATACTAAGTTGATTGCAGAAATCATTGATGCAAAGAGTTATATTAAATACAATCCTGTGCTTTGTTTAAAAAAGGATAAAAAACTACTCTAATTTGCAATGTTATCCCATCACAGAAGGTGATCAAATAATATACTGTTATGTAATTTTATAGTTTCATATCTATTTAGCCTTTCGTCTGATACTTGTCGATCTTTTAGACTGCCTGGGTCAAGGCAAAGCTCTTTTTTGAACACATCTTCCAGAAATATTGGTATATGAGCTGTGCGAAGTGATACCGAGCTACTGCAGCGGACTATGGAATTGAGTTTACTTGTAATTCATGCAAAGAGAAGGGCCCTGCTATGCCTAGGTCCTATATTACTAAATCATTAACTTTAATTTAGCTGCTTACTTCCTCTTAATGTTAATGTTATACAGTGTATCGCCTAAGCAATTGTATACTTATGTTTTAGGTGCCATTTTGACGTTGATTTGAGCAATGACAGTGGAGTTATACCTGCTTCTATCTTTGGAGATCTAGCAGAAAATATTCTCAACTTTACTGCGGTTGAAGCAATGGATCATTTTAATCAGGTTATTTTAACTGCTCAAATTTAATATTCAGTACGCTATTTACTTGTCACCCTTATATCTTCTATACTTCTTACAGAATCTTGAACTGCCACTTGAGTTTGTTCATGCTCAGCTTAAAACAAAGACATTTCTGGTTCACATTAAATCAGTCCAAACACAGCTCGCTGATGCTAGATAGCATTATACGATTTTATATTGCTCTGAACTTGAACTAGAATTTGGTCGTGCTCAGTTGATAGGTGAACCAGAATCTGTCTTGCTTTCAACTGACCAGCAAACTGAAAATGAGCAATTGA